AAGAAAAAAAAAAAAAAAAAAAAAAAAAAAAAAAAAAAAAAGAAAAAAAAACAGTCGAATTTCCCCCCCCCAAAAAAAAAAAAAAAAAAAAAAAAAACGTTCGAAGCTTCGATAAGAATCTATATACGTTTTTTTCAAATATTCTGCCAAGTTAAAAAGGGTGCCTAATCATTTTCGAAAGTGACCTTCGCCCCCCAAGTATATCGTTCGTCAATTACAAAAAAAATATCGCGTGAAACATCGTTGAAAGTTTGTCAAAGGCGGAGTCGAAGATGATTCGGCAGAGTCGCGCGCCGAGTGATAGCAACCGGTTAAGTATGTAATCGACGTCGCGTCGTTGTGATTCATCGGATAGATACGCGAACGGGGAAATTGGCCACATATCAAGTATCGCAACGTTTTTTTCACGGAACTCGAACGCCTTCGATTCCGTTCGATTAACATGCTGTTAGGATGTGACACGCAAAACTGACACCTTGCGTCAAGCAACGTGACGTCAATCTGGCTGCTGGAACGTTCGCAACATTTGCCTTCAGCAGATGAAAAAATGAGAAAGACAAGAAATACGAATACGTTCTTTCGAAGAAGATCAGAGATCCTGACAAAAGGGAATCGTACGTTTTATTTGCATAAAAGATAAGGAAGGCGTCGATTCGCCTATCGAGCAACATTATTCCAGGAAAGGTAAATTCCTTTTGAGTTGCTCTTGCGGCTGGTGATTCTTCTGTGAATCGTGCTTTGTCTCTGCAAGCAGATTTGACAATTCACTATCTGATTCGTTGTACAACGACCTGAAACAACACCACTTTCAACTGCTCGGAGATCTTTCGAGAAACGTGAAAACGAAGGAACACGCGCCGCGAATCGTTAGACTGCGAATTTTTATGCAAATCTCGATTTTTTTTTTCTTTCTTTTTTCGCTGACGCAACCGAAGGAGCCAGAAGTTAAACAAAGAATTGTTCCACGCGTGTTCTACCTTGATGGGTGAACAAAAGGACGTATACAAATCCTTCCAGCGAAACAATGCGAGTCATCATTTTTAACAAAATATTTCACGGCACAATGGCACGTGCCGCGTGCCGCGTCAACTTTCACAAACCAAAATCTAACAAACCTGACTTCGCGTTGCACTTTCGACTGAAATAGATGTTACAAATAACAATTTGCAACGATTTCCATTACGCTTTTGCGCCTTCAAACGTCCCACCAGCGGATGGAAAATCCAGACGCAGCAATTATCGACGAAACAATTGCCTCGTTCTAAACAGATCTCGTCGAGACGATACGAAACGAATGAACGATACGTGGACGAGATATGTCGGCGGTGAATCTTGTCAGAAAAATGTCAGAGGAAAGAAAGAAAGAAAGAAAGAAAAAAGAACGCAGCGAGCGTGTAGAGGAGCGTGGTGCGCGGCACCGCGAGACCGGAAGTTACGGTAAAGTGCGTGCAATTAGAAAATAACCTAAATTCAAGGCGGTTCGCGATCTCGTGTCGAGAACTAAAGCGATCTCGCCGGGAACCGAGCGAGCAGAAGCGTTTAACGACGCGTCGACGAGGGAAATGATCAATTATCAAGAGCCAGACCCACGTGGGCCGCGGTACTTTAAGTCACGTTGTTACTCTCTCTCTCTCTTTTTCTATCTCTTGTGTCACCTAGTTAGATCAACATGAATTTCATCTCTATACTCGTGAGCAAAGCAACGTTGTTCGATTAGAGTCGAAAATCGAAATGGGATCGCGCACGTCCCGTAGAGAAGGCGCGTTGGCAATTAGAGAGACTTGAATGCCCGCAAAGGACGCAAACCAGGCGCACAATTGTTTCCATCGGCGCGACATTCTCTCTCAACGAGACGAAAGTTGCAAATACAGTAGACACTTTCCGTTGACTTGTAACTCAAACGAATTAATAATGCTAATAATGCACATTGTTCGATCGATGTTTTCAACCATTCATTTCCATCATTTAAACGCTCATTATTTAGTATCACCTAGTAATTTGTCAGTCTCATACCTCGTTACATTTGAAATTTTTTTACAATTGTATCACTTTTGTACTAGCGGGTATTTCTTTTACCCGTGAAAAATGAATAAATAAATAAATTTCATTCGCTCGAGCCAAGCTCTTTTCGTCAATGATCGAATGAAATTTTAGCGGTCCAAGTCATTTACCTGAACGTGAACTCCCATTATATAAAGGGAATTATTCGAATTATACAAAGTATCTGTGCTAAATGCAATATTTGTATGCAAACAGAGTCCTTTTGTACAATTTTGTTGTCAGTTTTGTTCGAGGAAATTCATATTATTTTTAATCTAAATGTATTTGTTAATAGTTAATAGTTTCCTTGACTGGAAAATTTTTGGAAAACTTAGCAATTTTTTAAGTTTCAATAATTGACAAATAAATTAAATAGAATTACATCCCAGCGATTTAATTTTTCTTTTTTTTTTTTTGTAAATAATAATAATTTAGTAGCTGATTTATGTCATAGATTCGTAATCTTGACTGGAAAATTTTTGGAAAACTTAGCAATTTTTTAAGTTTCAGTAATTAACAAATAAATTAAATAGAATTACATCCCAGCGATTTAATTTTTCTTTTTTTTTTTTGTAAATAATAATAATTCAGTAGC